GCCTCAAGTCAGTTCTGGGTTCAAGTCCTGAGCACGGTAATTACATACTATTAAATACCTTGCCTTTCTGGAATTCAGACTTGTTTTTACCGAAAACGAGGGCATTCTAAAGAAATACCAAATACGAGTGTAAACCAACATGAAAACAAGCGTGTCCTCACACCTAGTGTGTCTTCATGGGAGCACACTTGGCAGCTATGCCCCGATGCACACACTTCCGTCCCCTTTGTGCTGTGGTGGGGCGCTGCAGAACAGCCGGCGAGGACGCACAGACAGCCCAAGCAACCCAGGAGTCCGAGAGCCCCTTACAGGAAACAGACGCTCCCCCAAGGCCCACCTTGGGCACTGACATGAGGGCTGAGCCTGTCCCCTGCTTCCAGCCTGGATTGCTCTGTGCTTGTTCAACAGCGTAAAGGTCCCATGGCGGAGGCTCACTCCAATTCCCTGGTGTGAAGAAGCCACTGATGTAACTTCTGTGCTGCGCCTCCTGGATTTAAACCCGTGCCCAGTGGAGGGGAGAGCCCGGCTCACAGACTCTGGCAAGGCTCGGGCTCACTCCCTGGTGGAGCAGAGAAGGTGGGCTGGCCTGTGCTCCACATAAGGCGTCTCCTCAGTGCTTGATCAAGGTGAGACATCAGGAGCCAGGACTCCGGTCGTCTCTGAGGTGGTCCCGACACGTCCCCTGAGGCCCGTGTGTGCCCAAGAGTGGCTCCTTGTGTGTCATGGCACATCGGTGTGTCGAACTCACTCTGCGGCTTTTCTCCCTGTCCCTTCTCTCACGTGGACCCGGAACCTGAAGCTGCTCCTGGAGTTCCCGACCCTGGAGGAGTTCAGAACTTGTCCCTCTCTTTGACCTAAAGGATTTTAGGAAAGTGTGTGAAGCGAACTCAAGAGATTCAACTGGAAATTAAAATGTGAAATATTGAGGCAAATCAGTTGCCGAGAAAGCTATGGATGTTTAGGGAGGGAGGGGATCGTACGAGTTTTCTTTGTAAAGTGAGATGCAGGACTAGAAGGAGCCAGGGTGAACTGCAGGGTTGCCGCTTTGTGGGAGTTTCCACACAGCTGCTGCCCCTGTGTCTGCTTAGCTCTGTTCATGTAGCAATCGCCGTGCTTGGAGTGTTGAACATTTTGGGGGATAAATATCATCAGCAATTTAATTTTTTGTTTAGATGCTTGATATTTAGGGTATTTCAGCTTTTATGTCTGTGCTTCTTTGTAAAAATAATTTCTCTTCAGGATAGTTACTTAGTGACATGCCTTAGACTTCACTTTGGGATTTCAGGGTAGGGGAAGAACACCCTCCTGTCCCTGCCCTGTGCAGGGTCTGCCCCTGCCCTGTCCCTGCCCTGTGACAGTCTGTACCTGAGCTCCCCTGCTCTGTTCTAGGTCCACACCTGAGCTGCTCCTCCAGGCAGGCTGGCTTCTCCCACAGGGGAACTGCTTTTGATAGAAACACAATCACCTGAGGAACAGCTGAGCAATGGAGCGGATTAGTGATGGGGGGGAGCTTAATGGAGATCCATGATGGTAGAAGATAAGTGAGGATAGTTCTGGTCTTTGAGAGGGTCAGGCATGACATTTGTGCCATCAGGATTGACGTTAGTATCCACTTTGATTTCAGCTCCAGTCCTGAGTTCACTACGTGTCATGTCACTGAATTGATGTGCGTTTCCTGTTCCTCTTTAATCATCTCATGAGGTCAGTCCTTTTCTTAATTTGTGGACTTTAAGGGGGAATAAACGTTCTCTCTCTTGTCCAGTTCAGGAGTGTCTGCCTTCTCTGTTTTATGTTTCACTCCAGGATCGCAGCTAGAATGATGCTTGACCTGAGGTTTTTATTTGTAGTTCCCTATCAGTTCAACATAAAGTTTGAAAAAAATAGCTGAAAGTGCATGTATTCCCACAGGGGGTCAGGAAGGTCATGTGGCATGAAGGGCCTAAAATCCGTGACTTGCTCTTCCTAAGGTAAAAGTGTAAACTAGACATGCACTCAGGGGATCGACCGTCACAGAATCAAACTTCGAGCACTGACTTCATCCTCGTGGGGCTCTTTGGTGAAACTGAGCATGCTGCCCTCCTCTACGCCGGGACCTTCATCTTCCTGGTGCTGGCCCTGGTGGGGAATGCCCTCCTCATCCTGGTGATCCACGCAGAGCCCCGCCTGCACACCCCCATGTACGTCCTCATCAGCCAGCTCTCCCTCATGGACCTCACGTACATCCTGGTGACTGTGCCCAAGATGCTTCTGGGCCAGGTCACTGGAGATGACACCATCTCCTTGTCTGGCTGTGTGGTCCAGATGTTCCTCTACCTGACCCTGGGGGGTGGCGAGTGCTTCCTCCTGGCTGCCATGGCCTACGACCGATACGCCGCCATCTGCCGACCTCTTCATTACCCACAGCTGATGAGCCAGAGAGTCTGCTGGCACCTGGTGTGTGGGAGCTGGTTCCTGGGAATGGTGGATGGCTTGTTGCTCACCCCCACTACCATGAGCTTCCCTTTCTGTCAGTCCAGGAAGATCCTGAGCTTCTTCTGTGAGGCCCCTGCCCTGTTAAAGCTGTCCTGTGTGGACATCTCGCTCTACAGGGAGCTCATGTACCTGTGCTGTGTCCTCATGCTTCTCATCCCTGTTGCATTGGTCTCCAGCTCCTACGCCCTCATCCTGCACCTCGTCTGCAGGATGAACTCAGCCAAGGGCCGCAGGAAGGCGCTGGCCACCTGCTCCTCCCACATGGCTGTGGTGCTGCTCTTCTTCGGTGCGAGCACCTACACCTACATGTTCCCCCACTCCTACCACACGGCCAAGCAGGACATGATGGCGTCTGCATTCTACACCATCATCACCCCTGTGCTGAACCCCCTCATCTACAGCCTCCGCAACAGAGACGTCACGGGGGCCCTGAGGAACCTGGTGCGACCAAGGACGACCTAGGAGTGGAACGTCGGACAGGCTGCAAGTGGCCCTCTTCCTCGTCCCCGCTGTCATTCCTCTTCTCCCTGCCTCTTCACTTACACTCGGTCCCAGGGCCCCACTGAGTCCACTTCGCTTTCTCTCATCCTCATGTGTGTGGCAGTTCTGTTCGTCTTCGTCTGCTCATTTTTTTTTTGGAGAGATTTTCACTGTAGGGCGCGTGCGCTCGCCAGACAGACAGAGAGAGACATAGAGACAGAAAGCGAGAAATGACCCCCCAGGGGAGATGGTCACGCCGCAATCCGTTCTCCTCCATTCTCCTCTCGGGATCTTGGCACGCACGCACACGCGCCCGGCGTGAGATTTAAGCCACCGGGTCTGGGACACGAACCGCGGTCGACTACGTGGGAGTCCAGTGACATAGCCATTACGCTAACTGCTGGTTCCCCACATTTGTTGATTTTCAAATGTTTAATCGAGTGTTGTGGTATAAGCACCAGGGTTTTTGTTATTGTGTGCACATTAAAACTACCTGGACCAAAAATGATCCATGTTAAAGTCAGAGAGGTAAGAAGATGATCTGGCTTCTAGGATGTAGGCAGGAGTGGTCCCAGTTCACTTCCTTCAGGATGTGGTTACTCTAGACAATGGTCCACTTTATTCAGATGAGACATAGTAACAGTCTCAGTGGAGATTAGAGATTGAGGAAATCTTAAGCTTTCTAATTTTTTTTCTTTTTTCCCTGAAATTGGAAAAGCCAACAAAATTGTTTTGGACTCGTCACTGTCCTTTATGTCCCTGCTGTATACTGGGCTACGAGGAGACTGTCTTTATATTCACACAGTAGCGTCCCTGTTATTACGATGAGCAAAGCCATTCATGTGGTTGTGTGTTTGGAATGTGAGGAGTTAGTAAAGAAGTACATGTGTTCTGATGAACAGGAAGAAGGCGATGTGGCTCCACAGGTGTCCTGTCATTGCCCCTTGATGCAGACCCTGGCCTTGCCTTGTCACAGTCAGTGACTGGACAGCAGGTGCCTGCATGCCTGCAGCCTGTCCAAAGGCACCGACAGTACTTTATCCAAATGGCACATCAACTGGGCAGTGTTACTTTTCACTGACAGTTATTCCTCAGTGCATGAAAGAATATGTCTGAATCTGGAAGTCAGTCCCACCAAGTTGAGCACAAGAAGAGTCAGCTGTAAGTAGGAGTTTGTCTAGAGGTGGTGGAAGCTTAGTGTTGGGAATCAGTATGGTTAATGTGAAGGAAGAAAAGGTGGAAAACTCCTCAAATGAATAATAGAGGTGGAAGACTAATTAAACAGTGCTAGTAATCCTAACAGTATATTCACATTATTGACATAATTCCACTTATTATATTGTCAATATCATTAGAGAATTGTTAAGATTATTTTTCCATAGATTTCATGATTCTTGTGTTTTTTTGTTTTTTTTTTTTTTTTTTTTCTTCCTTTCTCTTTAATGAGTGTTTCATTTATTGGCCATTCTGGAGGACAATGTGCACAGAGCAACTAAAATCTAATTTAAGTTAATAGTAGATCGTGAGACTCACATGGTTAGATACAGTACTTGAAAAAGATGCGATTGAAAGCCAACCAACCTTGGGTTTAGTCCAGGAACTTCCAGCTAAATTAAAGAGGTACATGATGTTCGTGAGCTTGGCTAAGTCCTTGGGGTTTCATCACTTTTAAAAAGGAGAAAGCCACCGACTTTGTAAGAGAGGTAATAGGCGCACAACCCACAGTGCCTTCTACCTCGAGTCCTCTTCCTGTCTCTAGACCTTCTCCTTCTCTCGTCCTTACATCTCTTCCTAAGATGTTGGCCTCAAGTCCTGAGATCCACAGAGCAGATGGTCTCTGGTTAATAGTAGGTTGTGACTGAGCAGCTTTGTTGAGCAAATTACTTTGCCTCACAGCCACGTTGGTCCTTCTTTCATCAAACAACTAGCAACATAAATACGCTGAGGAAGTTCGACTGCCGAGTGAGTTTACTACATTCAGAACTCCAGCCCAGAGACAGACCTCGTGAAGGGTCTAAATACCCATTGGTCTCCCTTTCCTACTACGAGGTGTGTCTCGGAGAGTTTGATTTGCCCACGACTCTGACTCTGTGTTTTGCTCTGGTTTATCCTGGGTGCCTGCATGCTCATGTAGACCGTATCATATGGTAGGGACCTGCCAACCATCTTAAATGAATCAACCATATTTTAGATTTATTTCCTCTTCTTATTAGGTAGTTCTGGACAAGCATTTTGTTGATCTTCAAAAATATCTTGTAGAATACTTCTTTAACCTTTTAAAAAAAACATATTGTTTATTCAGTAATTATTTAATAATTAAGTTTTGACAAGTTGTGTTTTAAATAATTTGTCCATTTATTCTATCTTATTCAATTATTTGTCGTTAATTTGTTGTTAATTGTCATTAGATTCCCCGATGATCTTTTGCATTTCTGACACCAGTTGCAAAGTCTGTCATTCTAATTTTATTTATTTGCGTCCTCTCTGTTTTCTTAGTCTAGCTAAAGGTTTTCGATTCTATCTTGAAAAAACAGCTTTAGTTTCATTGTCCTTTTGTGGTTTTTCTTGTGTCTATTTTTATTTTTTTAATTTTTTACATTTTTGATATAGAGCAGATGCACTTGCCAGAGAGAGTCCTGTCCTATCTTTCTTGTTTCTCAATCTTCCAATGGGATGTCAGAGAGAATTTACCGACGAGGTGGAAGAATCAAAATTTTGAGGACCCAACTCTCTGAGGCTGCGTTGGGCACTCTGGCAGCTGGGAACTGTGGGTTTGGGGGTTGGGGAGGGGAGCCAGGTTGTGGTCAGACAGGGGATCATGTGAGCATGACCGGTAGACTGCCTGAAGTGTGCTCAGAAGAAAGGGACCACAAGTGGGAGGCTCTCTTTTTTCCTGAATGCACTCCTATAGTGGCTGATGTCCACACTTGTCTTTCCTACCATCATATCTTTGTGTCTCTCAATTTCTATCATAAAGTGCAGGCATTCAGTATGTATCGACTGGGGATATGCAGTGCTTGTCTCTCATGGTCTCATTTATTTTCCGTAGCATTAAATCTTCTGTGTGCATCCACTTTGTGTCAGTAATCAGGGACTTATTGTTTCTTATGCTCGTTAATATTCCATAGTGAACATGTGCCACAATTTTCATTCCTGTCATCTGTTCTTGGGCACTTGAGTTTATTCCATGTCTTAGCAATTGTGAATAATGTTGTAGAGAACATGGATGTGTTTCTGACTGAGTATTTTCCAGTCCTTTGGATAAATACCAAGGAGTGGGATTATTGGGTCAAATGGAAGTTCTCTTTCTAGTATTTTATTTTCATTTTATCATAGGGTATGTTCACTTGCTGGAGAGAGAGAGAGAGAAAGAGAGGGAAAGTGAGAAATCACACCCTGAGGGGAGGGGCTTATCCCAGAATCTCTTCTCAATTCACCTCCTGGTATTCTGAGCACATGCACCCAGTATGGCTTTTAAGCCACCATGTCAGGAGCTCAAACCAGAGTCAGGCATGTGGGATCCAGTGCCTCAACCACCACACCACCTGCTGGTCATATATTTTCAGGTTCTCAAGGAATCTGCATTGTTTCCCATTGTGGCTGTGTTAATTTACATTCCCACCAGCAGTGTAGAAGGGTTCTTGTTGTGCCATGGACTTGTCAGCATTTGTCATTCTATAGAAATAAAAGTGGTTAGCGTACATTTAAAGCAGTAGTTATGTGGATAAACATGAAAAGCCATGTAAGCATATTACTAGTCAAGAAAGGCAAGTTAAATAATGAAGTACCTGTTGAAGTTTTTCTAAGATAGAAAAGCACACAAAATTCAATGCCAGTGCAAGGGAAGTTTGATTTTGTGGCACCATTTGAAGAAGCTTTGGAAAACTAATTTAGATTGTATATTAAGACATTTTAAACATTATATACCTTAAGATAAATTATGCTAGGGAGTACATTCAGAGTGATTTCTACATAAGCATGTTTATTTCAGTAAAATTTTAATTTAGAACTTTAACACCATGTGACTATTCACTATTAAGGGAGGACTGTTATTGTGGTATCACTAGTTGGTTCAATCTTATTAGTACATGTCCAGTCATATAAACACACAGCACATCTCAACCTAAAGAGGTTTGTTTCAGGAGCTCAGATACAGAGGTCGTGAAGGGCTACGTGGAAGACCAGGGATGCAGGGAGGGTTCCTGCTCCTCTCACTGCCAAGCTGTTGGGGACTCTGCACTTGAGGGGTGCTGGTGGGACCCTGCCCTGCTGACAGGCAGCACCCTGATGCCTGTGTCCTGCCAGTGCTGACGAAACCACTAGGGTGCTGGATCCTGCAATCCTGCGTGGTCCTTTTTCTCAATAGCTGCCACAGACCACCACCAGAATGAGCAGAAAGACTCTATTTCCATTGTTCTTCCACCGTCTGGTATTCCTCTAGGGCCTTCACTCTCAGAGACGTACAGGAAACCAGATTGCGAAATGAGCATAATCCTTGTGAAGGCTGAAGCGTTGGAGGTCAGGGTGGCTCCAGCATGCGGCATATTTCTTTTTCTTTATTTTGATTTATTTTATACATTTAATCACTGTGCATCACTTAGCTTGTAAATTGAACTTACCAAACGTGAAAACGCTTCATACCAGTCCATTAGGGATACAAAACACATGATCATTCACAGATAATAATCAATTCTCTATCCATAAATGTCTATTTTCTCTTTGATTCATTTCCTCTCACTCTCTCCCTTCTCCCATCCTTTTCCCACATTGTCTCCAGTAGCCATAAACATTTTCAATGCATCTATGTTCTCTAATATTTCAGTTTCCTTTCACACTATAGAGTGCTAGTTTTTATTTCTTTCTCTCTCTATATATGTACACACACACACACACACACACATTTTCCCTTTTGATTTTTTGGGAAGTAATGCTGTTTATTTATTTATTTTTAAATTTTTATTTACATTTTTTAATACATTCAA